TCATTATGTAGTTAGTGAAGGATTACTGGACATCTTAAAGTGTATAGTCATGAACATCAATGGTCATGTAATGGATAAACAATACCGTACTATTGGTCAGACTGTTCTCCATTGTGCTGTTAAACACATAGATGTTGTAAAGTACCTCATTAATGAGTGCAAATGTGATATAATGACTCCTGATAAATATGGAAATACTATTCTACATCATGCAGCTAGGGAAGGATTACTTGATGTCATGAAGTACCTCATCAATACTCATCACTATAATCTAATGACTACTAATGATAAAGGTGAGACTGCTCTTCATCTCGCTGTTAAACACATAGATGTTGTAAAGTACCTCATTAATGAGTGCAAATGTGATATAATGACTTCTGATAAATATGGAAATACTATTCTACATCATGCAGCTAGTGAAGGATTACTTGATGTCATGAAGTACCTCATCAATACTCATCACTATAATCTAATGACTACTAATGATAAAGGTGAGACTGCTCTTCATCTCGCTGTTAAACACATAGATGTTGTAAAGTACCTCATTAATGAGTGCAAATGTGATATAATGACTTCTGATAAATATGGAAATACTATTCTACATCATGCAGCTAGGGAAGGATTACTTGATGTCATGAAGTACCTCATCAATACTCATCACTATAATCTAATGACTACTAATGATAAAGGTGAGGCTGCTCTTCATCTCGCTGTTAAACACACAGATGATGTAAAGTACCTCATTAATGAGTGTGACTGTGATATAATGACTCCTGATAAATATGGGAATACTGTTCTACATCATGCAGCTAGGGAAGGATTACTTGATATCATGAAGTACCTCATCAATACTCATCACTATAATCTAATGACTACTAACAATAAAGGTGAGACTGCTCTTCATCTTGCTGTTAAACACATAGATGTTGTAAAGTACCTCATTAATGAGTGTGACTGTGATATAATGACTCCTGATAAATATGGAAATACTGTTCTACATCATGCAGCTAGGGAAGGATTACTTGATGTCATGAAGTATCTCATCGATACTCATCACTATGATGATCTAATGACTACTAACAATAGAAGTGAGACTGTTGTTCATCTTGCTGTTAAACACACAGATGTTGTAAAGCACCTCATTAATTGTGATATAATTCATTATGTAGCTAGTCAAGGATTACTTGATGTCTTGAAGTGTATGTTCATGAACATCAATCACCATATACTGGATAAACAATACCGTGATAAAAATGGTCAGACTGTTCTTCATTGTGCTATTAAACACATAGATGTTGTAAAGTACCTCATTAATGAGTGTGACTGTGATATAATGACTCCTGATAAATATGGAAATACTGTTCTACATCATGCAGCTAGGGAAGGATTACTTGATGTCATGAAGTACCTTATCAATACTCATCACTATAATCTAATGACTACTAATGATAAAGGTGAGACTGCTCTTCATCTTGCTGTTAAACACATAGATGTTGTAAAGTACCTCATTAATGAGTGTGACTGTGATATAATGACTCGTGATAAATATGGGAATACCTTTCTACATCATGCAGCTAGTGAAGGATTACTTGATGTCATGAAGTACCTCATCAATACTCATCACTATAATCTAATGACCACTAACAACAAAGGTGAGACTGTTTTTCATCTTGCTGTTAAACACATAGATCTTGTAAAGTACCTCGATAATGAGTGCAAATGTGATACAATGAATTGTGATAAAGATGGGAATACTGTTCTACATCATGCAGCTAGGAAAGGATTACTTGATGTCATGAAGTATCTCATCAATACTCATCATTATAATGATCTAATGACTAC